AATCCAGCCTGACCTCAGCAGCTCTTGCCTTTTTCCTTTTAATTTTCTTTTCTTTTCATGATGACAGTGGTGAGGCCCTTCCTCCCCTGACTGCATGTCACTGCTTTAAAGTACTTTATTTCTGTCATTGACAAACCATCCAGAGTAAAATAATATACAATTGAAGGATAATATAAAATAAATAAAACAAAGTGGAATAAAAAAGGGTAAACTGAACATGACCAGCAGAGGTGAAACTTTTTTAGTTCATATAAACAACTTTGAACATAGACTATTAGATTAAGGCTTCACTGAAACCAATAAACAGAAGTTATCAGTTATTGTTGCCATTAATCTCGAAACAAGTGTAATCAAGTTAAACGTCTGAATGAAGTTCCTTCAAATCTTGATAAATTTTGACCTTCAACTAGTTTTGGGGAATATCCCAATTGAATCAACAAGAGAGATTTAGCAACAACTGCCAGAATCTGGGTTGTAACCTCCACAGATGCCTGGCCTAAGTAAGTTATATTTGGCTGCTTGGAAGAATTTTTTTCCAGGATTGGGAAAATTAAATGTTAGTATAATTAAAAACTTGTATTATGTATAGCTATAGAAGAAGAGCTGGGAGGCAGAATTAAGTGCGTTATCAGTTTAGAGACTTTACGTTCCCACAAGTGCCAAGTTTAACTCTTCCTGAATTCTTTTGATCCTTATCTGGTGACAATTTAATGTTGAACTTTAGATGACTAGAGTCTTGCATATAAGCTTTTAGAAATTTCCTGTGTGCAACTTAATGGGTGATGCTGATTCTTTGCACTTGATAGCAGCAAAAGAAAAGTAAAACTTGGGCATTAAAGTTATAACACTAAGTGAATGCTGGCTGTGTGATGAAATCTCAGACTGGCAGAGGCAGTATCTTATGCATTATTTGCTGCATATGGCAATTGCACACTCTATAATCTTGGGTCATGAAAAATTATTGCGATGTTTACAACATTCCACTTGTCCCTTATCTGTCTATTAATATGTCATCTGTATTTAATCAGTCATGTGACACACTTCATAATCTTTGTTTTAGAGCAGTTTATATTCAGCCAGACTCTGACTTGTGTCTGTGAAAACAAAAAAACATTTGCATAAAGCAAAAAACAGAGTCCTTTGCAAGGCAACTTTACAGGGTGATAATGCTACTGTGAAAAGGCAAGATATATAATTAAATGATTTATATAGATGTTAAATAATCATGGAACTAACAAGTAACCTTGCTCAATGCATTTTTTTTATTATGGATCCTGCCTTACAGTTTGTCTCTAATACTGGAATGGGTTTTGCAACACAAATTATATATTGATAAAAGGAGCAGCCTGACAATACTAATTTCACCCATATCTTAACAACAAATCTGAAATGTCTTGAAATCTATGAAAGCAATATACCCGGGATGGCGAAGCTATGGCACACGTGCCACAGGTGGCACACAGAGCCATTTGTCAGGGCACATGAGGCTCCTGAAGCCTCCAGAGGATCTTGGGGGCGGGGAGGCTGTTTTCGCCCTCTTCAGGCTCCTATAAAGCCTCTGGAGCCTGGGGAGGATGAAAAAAGCATGCAAAAAATGGGGGGCGGGGGTTTTCACGCCTGTCATGCGTGAATGCGTGCTGGGCGAGTAGCACATTGTATCATGGATGTGGCACACCTGTGCATGATCCCCCTGCGCTCCCCCTGCTTATGGCATGTGAGCCAAAAAAGGTTCGCCATCGCTGCAATATATTGTCTTGGAAATTGACCAAAATCTGACTATGTTTTCTCTGAAGCTCGCTTGCTTATCTGCTAAAATGTTACATTACTGGAGTGGTTCCCCATATTTTTGGCTTGGCGACTGGTGTGGGGGGGAGAAGGGATGGTTCCATGCGAGCATGCATACCACCTGTGCAAGTGGAGCTGCATGCATGAACGTGCATGACCACTGCTTGTGCAGTCTGGTTCTGAATGGGCCACAGCCCTGTAGTAGGCCACAGCTTGGGGGTTGGGAAACCATGCATCACTAAATTTAATTTTGAGATTTCAGCAATAGATTCTTAATAGAATCTGGTTTTGAATATTTCCTTAATAGCTTGATCAGATCTCCTCCCCCTTAATATGAATAATAATGGTTAAATCCCAGCCTTTCTGTATGACTGTAGCATGAACAGTGGCAGTAAACTGTGGTAAATAGAAACTTCTACCATTTATATGTCTGGTTTAAGAATATCTCTGTGAATCAGATCATTGCATTGAGAGAGAGGGAGGGAGGGAGGGCAAGCACACAATTCTAGTCCTTCCTTAGGCATGAAAGCCAGCACTGGGATAGGTGGCATCTTCTCTCGCTTCCCACCTATCTTCTCATGATTGAATGAGGAGGTATGAATATAACATACATTACAAAACTCAAATTTATGCTGACCTCATTATTTGGCTTATTTATGGAGGCTCTGATATGCTGCTATGGGTCAGTTGTTATCTACTTTGCTGCTCTGGTGGAGACTTTAAAGTCCTGGGCTTGTTTCATGTTTTTTCCCTTGGATTTATCTTTCATTCCTTCTCAATTACAATCATAACTTCGCATTTGAAATAATATCCTAGTTGAAAGAGAACAGCAGAGCTCAGTCAGATTTCCAACTAAGATGTCACAGTCAATCTTGATGCAGTATAGAGCACAGCTAACTCGCTACTAGATGCTTCTACCGTCAAGGTAGATGGGAAAGATCCCGCCCCCCCCCATAGGTATTGCATGTCCTCCAATCTTCCATACAAAACCATAGTACCATTTTTTACCCCACACTGCAGGCTTCTCTAGTGTATACAAAGCAATCACTACTTATAACCAATTTCTGCCTTTGTGCATTTAGATGGAACGAACAGTAATTACTTGTTAACAGATCATCAGTTGATGGTTCTCGCAATGAAAATGGGTAAAGACTGGAAAGTCATTGGTATTGGATGCCTGAAGTTGACCTTGCAAGATATCGAACAGATTGAAGCAAAAGAAGAAGATGTTAATATGTATAAATGTATGATGTTGCGGAAGTGGAGAGATTCTGAACAGAATAATGGAACAGCCCATAATTTATATAAATGCCTTGATGGTCAAGTATCCCACGAGCTGCTAGAACTCCTGAAAGGTACCTTTGCATCTTATGTAATCAAACATTTGTGGGGTTGTGTTTTTTTTTGTTATTTCTTATAATTACAGAATTGGGACCCACCATAAGAAATTTGATCTTACAGGATATATTGTCATATTAGTGCCCAACGTCTCTTTCATGTTGACATGAAGAACTGTTCACATTTTAAGACTTTGTTAATTCATTTATTTAATTTGACCCCATTGCAAAGATACTACTCTTGGATATTTAGAACAAAAATAATGTTGAAGTAAAAAATAAATTCTAAAATCCTCCAAATAAAATTTAAAATTCCATCCATACACCAGCATCATTTCAGTTACTGTAGACCTCCAGAACAATCATCCCAAAGGCTACTATTGTGGGGAGAGCCTATAATTAACCAGGAGGCTCCTAACTTGGATTCAACCTCCATGAAACAATAATGATATGCCTCGTTTCCCCTCCTCATTTGGTAGTAGGGGACCAAAAGCAGTTTCACTTGGGATGCATGAGTTGCAAAGTCTAATTCCATCTGGAGAATACAGTCCTGAAGGTATTTTGGTGTCAAGCTTATATAGGACATTATAGATAAAAGCCAGCAGTTTGAATTTCACTGAATCACTTGGAGTATGTGATTGGGGTAGAAATATAGCCTGGTACCATATTCAAAATTATTAGAAGTTTCTGAATGTCTTTCAGAAGAAGCTCCACGTAGAGCTGATTGCAGCTGATCCCAACTAGGATCGCTTCCATGTTAAAATCAGACAAATCAGTTTGCCACCTTCCTTAACCCCAGTTAAGGAGTTAAATACTCTTCTCTTCCATTTGGTATTGAAATGTATAAGTTGCTACATCTTTTATACTATTGAGTAACTGGAATGTTGCCGTAGAACGGCTTTCCCTGTCTTGAAAAATGTCCACTAATACATCCCACAAGTCCAGTTATTATGATCAATAAATTCAACTCATTCTGTAGATCTGTATGTAATCTTTCTTAGTGATTACAGTTGGGATTGTAAGCTTGGTGGTTAAGTGAAGCATTTGTTAAGTGAAACTATGACTGTACTTATGAGCTTGCTTCAGCTTTTTTTTTGCTTTACTGAACTGTAAGGGAGCAAATATAGGGATTGGTTATCAAATTGCTATAACTGCAAATGGTTGTTAAACAAGGCAGTTGCTAAATGAGGACTATTTGTAGTAGAGCTATACACATTTTAAGAATGATTTCAAAGTAGCAGATCTCACATGGGAATCTTTCGACGCATGCACACTCATATTTACCTAAATTCCAAGTATTGCTTAATTTTACTGCTTTATCTTTTATCCAGGTTTTTTGCAGCAAACGTGAGTTCATATGGAACCAATTTCAAAGAGAAATATTGGGAATATTCTTTTGTAAATTTTCCAGGAATTTTATTGTGAACTTAGCAACACTTTAAAACTAAGAAAAGAAAATAATGGACCAATTATTGAAACTCAGGATTAAATATGGTTTGAGAAGGAAGCAAAGTGAGTGGAATCATGAACTTCTGCAAAGGCATTTCCCCATACATTTTACTCACAGGTTCCCAGAGACATTTGCACAATCAACAATTCCTTCACTCCCAGGAGAACTGGTGCTTTCCCAAAATGTTTTCAGTTTTTGTTTGTTTATTTGGATGAGGTGAGCCTTTCTTTCATTCCCCACCCCCTATGAAAATCATCAACCTGGCATAGTGTTGTAAAGGCACTTTCTAACTGCATGCCCCAAAATAGAAACATTCAAACTTTATAGGGAGCCTCAAATGTTCTCATTCTAAATTCTACTATAGCATTCAGACTTTTTTCTGGATACCATGCTTAGAAATGAAATTTCTGGTGTCTTGAGGCATGTTTGTTTCAGTTAGTGTAATAAACAAAACTTGGGTTTCCTCAGAGGTTTATTAGGAATTCCTCAGTGAAACAACTAATAATGAAATATTTGTTTCTTGGAAGATATAAAGATTGTCCTTACCGTTCTTCTGCAAGATGCAACTGAAGGTCATGTTGGATGCGTTTTACTTTTTCTGTGGTATTAATTCACCCCTGGACTTCGTTCCATAGTTTTTATTTAGAGGGCTGGCAAAATGTTTAGAACAGTGTTTTTCAACCTTTTTTGTGCAAAGGCACACTTTTTTCATGAAAAAAATCACGAGGCACACCACCATTAGAAAATGTTAAAA